GCTTGAGGTGGGAGGAGGGGATAGGTGGGAGGTTAGGGAGGCGGGGACAAGGCAACCCCTTGACCTGTCCATCCTCCCTGGACTGACCTATCTCCTCCCTACCTCCTCACCTACACTCACCTTTACTGGCTCCATCCCCACCTCTTTGACCTGTCTGTCTTCTTTCCACCTATCTTCTCCTCTATCCATCTTCTATCCGCCTCCCCCTCTCTCCCTATTTATTTCAGAACCCCCCTTCCCCTCCCCCATTTCTGAAGAAGGGTCTAGGCCCGAAACGTCAGCCTTCCTGCTCCTCTGACGCTGCTTGGCCTGCTGTGTTCATCCAGCTCTACACCTTGTTATCACTGTTGATATATTGATTTTGGGGACTGGCCATTTATGCAGCGTCAATCACCTATCTAAACTCTCTTGCCCCCTTGCCTGCCTCCATTTGAAAGTTAGCTTTTATTCCTTTCAAGAACGAAAACTTATTTTTCAAAACATTGGATTGATAATAGGGTAGTGTAATGCTGATAAATCTTCCATGTAAGTTATGACCTCTGATTCTTGCATTCTCTCCTTTGTTTGCATATTCTAGAAATCTATTTATATTTGCAGAAAATCAGTCAGTGCTGTAATGCTCAGGCTACACAAAATAATAAATCTGAACTACTGAAATAATTTTAGTTTTAAAGAAGACTCCAATTTCCATTGGAGTTTCAGGAAAGGCCAAATTACATCTTTCACCATGTTGGTCCTCTAGTCGCAGTTGATGTCTAATTCTGTGTTTATCTGTGGGAACAACCTTGTTTGGGACACGGAAGTGTTTAATAAGTGGAATAGTGAACTGTATAGCCATGTGGGACTGTCACTTTAAAATGGCTGCAGCTGGACTGACTTTCTCTTTCACTAGTGTATAGAAATATGAGTGTGCCAGTTGACCCATTGTTGTGCCATTTTGTTAACAATGGAACATAGGAATAGGAGCAGACTCAAGTTTTTGATGAAGACTGAGTAATTTCTTATTTTTTAATCATATTTTTCTATCTTTTCATCAACTGATATTAGGTTATGTCAAACATCATTTCCTTACTGTAGCCATTGCTAGGTTTGTAATCAGTTTTCTCTTTTCTGAGCAGCTAATTGAATTTCGGATGAAATGGCTAGTTCAGGTCAGCTGAGAGAAAGTAAATCTCAAGATCGGTTTGATTACCTACAAGCCCTTGTTACTGAGTTTCAGGATACTGATAGTCAAGGTAAGATGATAAAAGTGTTGAATGGTGATCCATGATTGAGAGTTGCAATCTGGAGTTGGAGCTATAGTATTCTAACCAGTAACTGTTCAGAAAGGACAAGGATATTTGGATTTAAACCATAGAATCTAATATTTTTGGTTGTGCTCATGTTTCTTACCACACAAGATTGCCAGTGTCTTAAATGCTTGCAGTTCATTTTTAATCAGTTGTATGCTGGAGTATTTATTGTAGCATTTCACAGGGTAGGTTTCACTGCAAATATTACCAAAAAATATTTTACATTGTGTCTCGTCAGTCCCAGTGACAAATACTGCCAGTGTTGGTGTTCTGTGTTTAAAATCTATGTTTTGTTTTACTTCTCAGAGGCAAAAGAACAAGTTCTGGCGAACCTAGCTAATTTTGCATATGATCCCAGTAACTATCAGTATCTTCGACAGCTGCAGGTCATTGACCTATTCCTGGATATGCTTACAGAAGATAATGAACGATTTGTAGAATTTGGAATGGGTAAAATCTAAGTTTTGTATATGTATTTTGTCACACTTCTTTAGTTGGGTAAATGGATCATCCAAACTCTGCTCAATTCCAATCCTTCTGACATAATCATTAAGTATTTTAAGGAAAAATGATAAACATTGGAAAAGCGCAACTCTAGAAATGTTGGCAGTAAAATTTAAAGTTTTTTTTAATGTCTAAGTACTGTCTTATTTTCTGTGATGGATCCTGGAACATGGTTGCTATGCTTTAACTGCTAACCTGACTTTTCCCTTTAAAATCACGGCATATACTGGAAATCTGAAACAAAAACAGAAATTGCTGGAAAATCTCAGTAGATCCGGCAGCATCTGTGGAGAGAAATCAGAGTTAACGTTTCAGATTCAGTAACCCCTCTCTAGAACGCTCTGAAGAAGGGTCACTAGACCTGAAGCATTAACTCTGATTTCTGTCCACAGATGCTGCCAGACCTGCTGAGATTTTCCAGCAATTTCTGTTTTTGTCCCAGAGGAAGGTTGTTTATATTTTTTTCCAGACATCAGTTAAAGATTAATTATTTCTAATGAAGTGTTTATAACTTTCAAGAACAATCTGTCAAGTTCCCTCATGATTTGGGGAGAGAGTACTGTAGTAATAAAGACACAGGACTAGTAATTCAGAACTCCAAGCTAATGTTCTTAGGATGTGGGGTTGAATCCCACCATGGCAGATGGTGGAATTTGAATTCAGAAAAAAATAAAATCTGAAGCTAGTTTAACGGCGGCCATGTGACTGCTGTCAATTGTTGTAAAAACCCATCTGCTAAGGAAGAAAATCCTTACTACCATCCTTACATTGTCTGGCCTACATGAGACTCCAGGCCCACAGCAATGTAGTTGACTCTTAGGTCAGACCAGTGACGCTAATATCCCATGAATAAATTGTTAATTTGTAATCAATTTGCATCCGAATTGACGTGCTTGCTTTTTGTGATGTTGTTCACATGTAGACATACTTCAGATGACAGTCAATCTTCTAATAACTTTTTTCATGAAATGTTGGGAACATGTTATATGTAATGTGCCTATAGAATAGAGTCGTTAGGATTTTTTTTATTCCAAAGTATAATGGGAGTGTTAGTGTTTTCAGGTTAAAATTATTTCTTTTGTAGCAATTGTAAATTAGGGATCTTGTTTTGTACGTCTTAAATGGGAAGGAAACTGTCAGGACATGAACAAAAAATTAATGTTTAATGAGGCAGATCACTCAGCGTATCCTCACTTTTTAAATTTTTTTTGTTCATTATTTCGTTCTCCAAGTTTTCATGGACCCAAGTGTTGACAATGCTTTTATTTTCAATAGGTGGTCTCTGTAACCTCTGTTTAGACAAAGAGAACAAGGAATACATTTTACAGAACAATGGGGTTCAGGCAGTGCTGAACTGTTTATCCAACCGTAATGAGGATACAGTGCTGTCTGCAATTACCACATTAATGTACTTGATGACTCCTTTGTCCCGGAAGGAAATCACAGCAATGCCAGTTGTTGAGTGCATGCTACGGTTCTCCATGTCTAAAAACAAACGTCTAAGTAATTTAGCAACCCTTTTTCTGGAAGATCTTTGCTCATCTGAAGAGGTAGAAAAAGCTCGGAACTTGCAGAATCACACGGCCCTGGGAATACCACTTCCAAAAGAATAGCTCAGAGAATTCTTAGTATTCCGCAGCATTCCGATGCCTTTTGGAACAGTTTTTGAATATGCTGCATAAAAGTATAACATACGAACATTATTATTAATTTGTAACACTGTCCAAGTACCAGCTTTGTTGAGTTCATAGCACTGTTATCTTTGATGTAAATTCAACTGTCGCTGAGGAACTCTGCATCGATGGAAGTGTGCCAGATGTTGCATAAAGCAAAATCTTGTTCAGATGGATATTAAGCATTGCACAATTTTGTTCAAGATTGAGCCTATTTCTGGAGTTTCAGTTAAAATTCCTGCCTGAACAAAGACATGTAAACAAAAATTAGTTGGTCATGCATATCTCGAGTTTGTTGTATGGATGGCTGCTGCATTTCCTACATGACTTGTTACATTTCACAGATAGTTCACATATAGTTTAACAATACGACATAAATATAGTATTATAAAACAAAATGTTGGGGATGCTGGAGATCTGAAACACACAAAAGCAGAAATGGCTGGAGAAACTCAGGTTTAGCAGTATCTGTGGAGAGAAAATATTAACCTTTTTTAAACGTTTCTAAAGAAGAGTCACTGGACTCAATGTTAATTCTGTTTTTTCTTCACAGATACTGCCAGACCTCCTCTTTCTCCAGTATTTTCTATTTTTTAGTGCTACATAATGTTGTGGGTGAATCACCACAAGTTACTTTTAAGTAGGCTACTTATTAAGAACTGTCACAGACAATCAAGTACTGAAATAATGATTTAAACTTTATTACATGTAACAACCAAAAAAACAAGTTAAGCCTCACAACCCAACTTAGCTATTATCTGACTAATGGTGGAGCTTGCCCATGTATGCTCCAACAATGTCTTGTCTCTGGAAGTGTCCATGGTTTAATCCTTACATAGTGTTGTTCTTCAAACTTCTGCTAAGCAGGGAATTTTGGTGTTTGATTCTTATACACATTTTTGTCCTTCAGTTTGATGATGTGATACATTGATAATTCTTTTAAAGTCCTTTCATCCAAATTACAGTAAATCTGCAGCTTGCCTTCTTGTCAGAAATAGCTTCTTTGTTCCTTGTTACATTTGGCCTTAACTGTCTGTTCAAAGACACAGCTTTCCTGTCATTAATGCCTTAAATTCTTGTGCAGGGCAATCAGTTGTCCTTGTGGCATAAAGCATCCAATTTATCACGCACATGTCAAAGCAGTTTTATTTGTTTTAGCCTCCACTCCTCCTTTTACTGGGCATGGCTAATCGCTTTCTATTCCCGTATAACTCTGTCCTTGTCTTTAGATATTTTTTCCCCCATACTGAGTTATTGCTGCAGCTTTCCATGTGTAAATTTATCTTTTGGTGATTCATTCAATCAATCCATGAACAGTTATTGAAGTTCTAAAGTTTATAATACCATAATAAGTTTTTTTTTGTTTTCCTTCTGTTTTACTAAAAAATGCTTTTTTTGGAACCAAGTGCATCCTCAAACTGAGGAATGAGAGGATTATGTTTGTTTTGTGGATGGTGAATTAGACAAATTGATGTGCTTTTTTCCATTATACACATCAATGGACACCTAATTAAGTAGACAGAACAAAGCTGGAACTGTTAACATGTTTTTATCCATAGTGTTAATTTACCTAATTTATGCTTAGTAAGTGACACTTGCACAAAGAAAACCAAATCTCTCCTTTGTCCTCTGGTCAGTAGTACCCTTTGTTGCTCAAAATGTTTAGATTGAGGGGTTTGCTTGGGTTGTCTAATGATACTAACTTTTACTGAGACTTAGTTCCATAGATGCCAGCGTCCCCTCCCTTCATGACATCATGCAAATGCATGTTCTTCATGTGAGTTTGAACCAAGTATAACTGTGAATCTGAGCTTGATCCTGTCCTTACCTGATAGAATTCTGTATCCCTCATGTTAAGGACAGCAAGCTTAATGAATTTTATACTTCTTCAACTATCAACTGATTGAAGGTTGCTTTGTGCATAAACTTGGCAAAACTTGATATTGTAACATTTGTTGTCTTTATTCACCATTTGCAGTGTCTGTGGAATTGAGCGCCCAATTAACTTTGTTCAGGTGTTATATATTGAATATACATTGAATGTATTTGTAAGCTTTTCAATAAAAGTTTTATATATAAAAAAGTTGAGCTGGGATGCTTGGAAAAACTTAAACTACCGAAGTGCAAGATTGTGGAATTGTGCTTTACGTGCAACATTCCTGATTCACCCCATTCCTGTAAACGATTTAGATGAGGCTGACATTAGTGCAGTGCATGCTTGTTGCACATTAGAAATCTACGAAGTGATTTTACACTTGTGATAATCCTATTTAAAATGTTTGAGATAAAATAGAAGAATTCACATGGTACATGTTCTCGAACATCATAACCTGGCTATCTCGAACTGGCCTGTTTAGCATATTTAATAGCTATGTAAAGCCCATTGTTGAATATACAGCAGTTTTGTAACGCTGGATTTACCAAAGAACACGTGATAAAGTTAAAAGCATTCAAATGAGCATTGAAAACTATCTTGGGTAATGTGTATCAATGCTACTCTAACACAATGAAAGGGATGGGATTGGGCCTAATATTAGTACCTTAAACCTAAATAAGGGCAATAATTTGGGCATAAAAGCTGAGCTAGTTGAGGCGAACAGACATACTAGACTAGAGGATAGATTAATAATGACAAAAGTGATAGACATTTAAAGGGATATTTTGTGATAAGAATCTTTCTTTATAGTAGCAATATATTTAAGGAAGGAACTACTATCCCCAATTAACTAAAAAAAAATTAGGGAAAGCATCAAACTTAAGGAATAAGCATACATCTGTTTGCATGTTTGTACAGTGCAGATGATTCATCAGGATACAAAGGACAGCAAAGCATGTCAAGGGTTATTCAGGAGTGAGAAATTAGATGGAGAGGAAGCTAGCTGGGAATGTACAAACAGAGTTTCTAGAGATATCTGAAAAGGAAAATCCAAAGTACGTGTTGGTCATCTAGAGAGTGAGAATTACAGGTTAATAGTAGATAATAAGCAAATGATGGATGAAATGAACAAATATTTTGCTTCTGTCTTCACAATAGAGGATACAAAAATATTCCAGTAATAGCCATAAATCAGGAGTGAAAGGGAGATTGAACCTTAGAGAAATTACAGCTACCAGGGAAGCAGTACTAAGTGAGCTGTAGTTGCCAGTCTAGGTAAAATGAAATTCATTCTGGGGTCTTAAAAGAAGTATGTGATGAGGTAGTCCATATGTTGGTGTTAATTTTTCAAAATTCCCTATATTCTGGAAAGGTTCCATCAGACTGAAAGTAACAACATAACTCCTTTCCTGAAGAAGGGAGGGAGACAGAAAACTATAGGCCAGTTAGCTTGATGTCAGAAACAGTCGTTAAAATAAATCATTTTTATAGCTGCACACTTAGGAAAAACTCAAGGTGGCCAGAAAATCACCATGGTTTTAAAGGGAAATTACGTTAGAGTCATAGAGATACCAGGCACGGAAACAGGTTCTTTAGCCCAACTTGTCCGTGCCGATCAGGCATCCTATCCCAACCTGACATGGTCCCATTTGCCCGTGTTTTGCCCATATTCCTTTAAACCGTTCTTTTCCATGGACCTGTTCAAATGTCTTTTAATTAGTTTAAACAAGTTATTTGAAAGACTAACATGCACTGTGAATAAAATGGAGCCTATGGACAGTGCTGGGATTTCTGAAGGCATTTGATAAGGTTCCATATCAAAAGGTTTATGAAGAAAATCAAAGCACATGGTATACCTTGTAACACATCAGTTTGCCTTAGAAAATTAGCTGGCCTGAGGAGAACTGAGACTATGTGTAAATAGGTCTTTGTCTGGTTGGCAGGATCAAATGAGTGAATAGGCAAAAATTTGTAGTAGAACCATTATTTTTTAAACTAGCTGGTAAAAGAGGATCAAGGAGCAGCACACCCTGACGAGCCAAAAGGAATATTTCAGTGAACCTTGTGAACAGGGACCATTGATCTGCTTTCCCATCTTTTTCCCTCTGCCTATCAATTATTTTTTTCTGCTTTACTGTGTGTGTGGGACGGGGGGTTTATCAGGGGATGGGAGTTTTAGCTAGTAGAGTTATATATGAATTGTTCATGATTGTGTAGTAGAATGTGCTTATTTGTAATAATCATTCGTATTAAGTTCAGAAATCGGAGTATAAAGACAGGTAAATTAGGGAATTTGGCAAATTTTATAAACTATTTAACTTTTGTTTAACCTATTTTTCTAAGCAACCTCTTGACAGATGTCATTCCACACCTCTGGAGCAGGTCGGACTTTCCGATCCAGCAGAAGGAATGCCACAGCTGCGCCACAAGAGGTTTCCCCAAATCTATGGAACACCTCACGAATTTGTTTGTCCTCCATGAGCGGGGGCCATGCTCATCTTATTTGTGTCATTCAAATTTTAGTATGTATGCTGCCGAACTTTTATAATGACCCCAAGAATACCGAGTCTTGATTTCCAGTGCGCTGCCCAGTAAGGTGTAACCATTAATGAGACCCTGCATTTTGTAATGTGTTGTATTTTAACTGTATACCGAAACGTTCATAACCCCTTTATGCAATTTAAAAAAAAAGTTTTAAAGGTTGCATGTCACTATACTAGGAATTATGATAACCTGTTGAACATTCACAGGTTGGCACAAGCTACCACGATGATTTTTTGATAAATCGATTCCTACCAATTGAAAATGGCAATTAAGAATCGTACATTTGATATCTGGTATATAAATGTACACAGGTTAGAGATGTTTCAAGTCGTAACCTTTTATTAGTATTTCTACCTGAAATCTGCTTCTCACTTCAAGTTGCTGCTAGAGCTACTAAGTATTTCCATCATTTGCCGCTTTTGTTCCATATTTCACGCTTTCGAGTATGTATTTTAATGTTTACGTAGATAAATTCTCCACATTCTTGATAAATGTTAGGGAGATTGCAGTGCAAGCAAACGAAGTCTTAAACAGATGATTAACTTTTCAATTTCAAATAATTTCACAGGATGTATAAACTGTGACAGTTAAAATTTAACTAAAACAACATTTACCTTGATTTGTGTGATAGCTGCTTAAGGCTGTCAGGGCGGCGTTTGCACATTCTCTGTTTCTGCGTGGGTTCTCCCCCCACCCCAGTCCAAAGCTGTGCAGGTTAGGTGGATTGGCCATGCTAAATTGCCCACACTGTCCAGGGATGTGCACGCTAAGTGGATTAGACATGGGGAATATAGGGTTACAGAGATCGGGTAGCCGGGGGTTGGGGCTGAGTGTGCTCTCGATGGGCAGAGTGCACATTGTGGGGTTTCTACGATTCTAAGTCACTCCTCAACTACTTTGTCAGTTCTTCTACTTCCCAAATGAGGTTAGGACTCTTCAGTTTCAGGCCTTTTTCACACTAGTTACGGGGTTCCGCTGGATACAATAAGAATTGAATTTCACAAAAAAAAACTTTTTTTACAATGCCGCTTCTGATTCCAATCTAGGGATTTGGCGCGGAAGCCAAAGGTGGAAATTGGGACAAGAGATACTTTAAATATATTATACACAGTTCGTGAGTCTCAAGAATTTACCGCTGCTTTTAAAAGGGCTACTCTAAGAGAAAACTCCGCTTTTTACCTCCGGCAGGTGTCACTGTTCTACCGGAGATGAAAAGCAGCTAACGATGTTCCTCCAGTCCGGTAGGTGTCACTGCGGACGGAATGCACATGTTCGATGGTTCGCGTCTCGGTTTCCATGAAAGCCGCCACGGCCTTAGCAATTGTCGGGGCTGCCGCCGGTTTGGGGCCTGGGATGGCGTGATGGCTTCGTACAGGGTGAGCGACCACTTCGCATTCAGAATTAATAATGCTCCCGACTTTTATTCCGGGCCTTTGGAAAGTTTCAATTATTTTAAACCAAATTGCTTATTTCCACAAGCCACAAGTTACAGTTGGGATAGTGAGGATCGGAATTGGGAATGAATGAGCATCAGGGCAGCCTTGGGGCATGTCTTCATTTCGGAGGGCAGAAAAGGAGAAGCCTAGTACGACCTTGGGGTTTCTGGTGGGAAATTTCATGTTAAGTAATATTCAACAGAAGAAGTGCAGTTCAACCCACTTTTAATTGATCAATTCAGAGACTTCAATCCAATGATTTCTTAAATTATCCCAGGACAGTGATTGCTTTTTGAAGAATTTCCTGACATCTGTTTAGCGGAATGCAGGTTTGTTGCCCGTCTTTTGAGAGCATTTAGAAAGATGAGGGTGGGGGGATCTAATTGAAAGTTACAGAATACTGAACAACCTCGACAGAGTGGACGTTGGGAAGATGTTTCCATTAGCAGGAGAGACTAGGACCTGAGGGCACAGTCGTAGAGACCTTTTAGAGCGGGGATGAGGAGAAATTTCTTCAGCCAGAGAGTGGTGAATCTATGGAATTCATTGCCAGAGAAGGCTGTGGACCAGGTCATTCTGTATATTTAAGACAGAGATAGATAGGTTCTTGATTGTCAAGGGGATCAAAGATTACTTGAAGAAAATGGGAGAATGGGGATTGAGAAACTTATCAGCCATGGAGGAGCAGATTCGATGGGCAGAATGGCCTAATTTCTGCTCCCATGTCTTATGGTCTTAAGCGCATTACTGTTAGTGTGAAAGTGCACCTAGAGAAAAAGAGGATTCTAAAGAACAACTAGAATCTATTGGGAACCATGAGACTAACCTCTGTGAAGAGGATTTTGGTATGGCTCAATGAAAATATCACATCCATTTTCACAAAGGAGAGGGACAATGCAAATGTTACAGTCAGAGAGAGAAGTGAAATAATAGATTAAGATTGAGAAAAAGGTATTAAGGGGTTTAACATCTAGGAAAGTGAATTAATCCCCAGGCCTATATGAAGCCTGACATAAAGAAATAACAGCAATACTGACTATCATTTTCCAATTGCAGATGTGGTTCCGGACGATCAGAAAACCACTAACACACCATTTTTGAAAGTGGGGAATGGTGAAATGAGTAATTGCAGTCAGGTTAACCATGGCGGTAGGAAAATTATTGAGGAAATGTTCTGAGGGTCAAAATAAATCTTCGTTTAAAAATAGATTGATTAATCAAAGATAGCCAGCACAGATTTGTTGAGAGGTTTGTGTCTGGTATTGACATTCTCTGAGGAGGTTCAATGGAATTATGCATTTGATGTGATCTGTATGGATTTTTGGCAAGGCTTTGAAAAGATCTTGCACGCAGAATGGTCTCATAAGTAAACACCCATAGGATCCAAGGCCAAATGGCAATTTCTTTTTTTTTCCCTTCATTGAATTAACGGGATGAGGGTGTCGCTGGCTAGGCAGCATTAGCCCATCCCTAATTGCCCAGAGGGCAGTTGAGAGTCAACCACATTGCTGTGGATTTGGAGTCACATGTAGGCCAGACCAGGTAAGAATGGCAGTTTCCTTCCCTGAAGGACATTAGTGAACCAGGTGGGCTTCTTCTTCCCTTCTTCCCCCCCTTCTCCCCCTTCTTCCCCCTTCTTCCCCCTTCCCCCTTCCCCCTTGGGGCCTTGGGAGTGCATGTCTAAGATTTCCTGAAGGTAGCTGGATGAGTAGTCAAGGTAGATAAGAAAGCTAATGGGGTACCTGCTTTTAATTAGCAGAAGCATCAAATGTAATGGAGGTTTTGCTGCGACTGTAAAAACTTTAATTAGGTTACAACTGGATCAGTGCAGTTCTGGTCACTGCAGGAAGGAGGTGATTGCAGGAGAGAAAATCAGAGGAAATATGAGGATCTTGCCTGGTTGGATAGTTTAGCTCTGAAAATTATGGGAGAAGCTTGTGTTTGATTTCTTTGGAATTGAGTTAGTTGAGAGGAAATCGTGAGTGTATAAAACTGAGTAGTTGAGAAAGGTGGATACCAGGTATTTCTGTTTGTTGAGGGATTGCTAAATGGGGGAATAAATTTATGATAGAGCTAGGAGGTTGAGAGAGTAAGTTGTTTCACTCGGGCAAGTGGGGTTCTGGAATTCTGCCTAAAAAGGCGGAACGCCAAATATCTCATAACATTTAAAAAGTACTTGGATCGGCACTTGAAGTGCTGAAGTCTGCAAGGCTGTGGTGCAAGATTTGAAAGGTGGGATTGGTGTGAATGGCTACCTGTTAGCTGGTGTGGATACAGTGATTCGAATGACTTTCTTCCATGCTGTAAATTTCTGTAAGATTTATGACATTTTTTCAGAGATGAGGAACTTCAATTATATGGACAGATTGGGGAATCTGTTCTGTAACCATCCTAAGATATACCAGGGAAAGGGAATTGAAGACTTTAAGGATCTTCGTGAGGACCTTGGGAAGTCTTTTTCAAGGTTACTGGGATGGCTAAAGTGAAAAGGAAATTATTAAAGGTGATCATGGAAACCTGAGGTCTGTGTTATGTGGATGATTGAAATGGTAAAGAGTTAGGGTGACATTGAAGCATTCCAGTTGGTCTGTACTCCTGTTTGACGCACAGTCTATCCATATACTTGCATCTGCTCGTCTGCTTCTGTGCAGCAGCACATCTGTGTCTGCATGCATTTGTGATGTATCGTTGTGTTTCCATGCAACTAATCACAAACCAGTGTGCATGGGCATGCCATTGTTTGGGTGTGGGCTTGCCTGCAGAAGTATGTATGCTTGTGTATCTGTAAACACTTTCCTATCTGAGAGCATGTGCTTTTTTGTTTATTCTTTCATGAGGTGTGGGAATCATTGTCAGGACCAGAATTTGTTGTTGATTGCAGAAGTGAACTGAGTGGCTTGCTTGGCTATTTTGGAGGCCAGTTAAAGTTAAACACATTGCAGTTGGTCTGGAGTCATACGTAGGCCAGGCTAGGAAAGGATGGCAGATTTCCTTTCCTAAAGGATATGTGTGAACAAGAGATAACACAGTATGGAGCTGGAGGACCTCAGCAGACCAAGCAGCGTCAGAGGAGCAGGGAAGCTGACTTCTGAAGAAGGGTCCTGATCCGAAACGTCAACTTTCCTGCTCCTCTGAGGCTGCCTGGCCTGCTGTGTTCCTCCAGCTCCACACTGTGTTATCTCTGACTCCAGCTATCTCTATCTGTGTTTTTTTTTAAAAGTTGACGGTTTCTAGATAATATATAGTGAATAAATTATCAGTTTGTTAAGTTACTGAAAGGCCAGTAGTGTCAATCAAACTATAACTCCACAGAAAATCTGAAGGGAAGTGTGAAAAAGAGTGAACTGAACAAGAATAAATGTAATTTGTGCCACTTTGCAGACTGAGGGATAGCTGCTGATAGATGTGGAGCTGATGTATAGTCTCCAATTACTTAGGCAATGTTGTCAATTCCTTTATACAAGAGTAACTAGTGTTCATTAATTGTGACTTTACCTTTTGAGCAATGATAATTTTAGTTGTAAAGAAATAGCTCTTTGCAATCACAATACATCTGCATTGTGCAGCGTAACATGGCCTTTGACATTAAGATAAAGTCATCCACTCTGATTTAAGTGACTATTTCTTGTGTGTTCAACTAGAATGAATGAAAAGCTAGTTGAACTGACAAGGTGATATTCTTAATCCCAGAAGTACAGTCTACATCATTAAAGTATCACACTAATCTGCTTTTTATATGCTCTTTATATTTGTGGAACTAACAGTAGTGGAAGGTGAAAATAAATAGAAATTACTAAAATGAATAACAACTAGAATGATTTTTGTTTTCCTAATACACAATTCAGGAAAAAGTGGGATGAAGACCATAGAAGACGGACAAAAATCTGGAGTTGGAGAAGCACTGGATTCTTGGAGAGTTATAGGGCTGGAGGCAATTATGGAGGCTGGGAAGGATGACATGTAAAGTGATTTGAAACCAGGATGACAATTTTAAATTGGTGGTTCTGATAATCAGAAACTAATGTAAACCAATGAACTGAACTTTGTCTGGCTTAGGGTACTGACTACAGCTTTAATGACCTGAGGGTTATGGAGAATGAAAGATGTGTGCCCAACTGGAGAGCATTTGGAAGTCTGAAGATGACAAAGGCATAACTGAGGGTTCTGGCAGTAGATGGCTTTTTGGGCACAGAAGTTGTGAACAGTTCATTTCAAAACAGCTATTGGCTGAATAGGGAATGAAATCCAAGGTAACAGTTCGGCCTATTGCTCAAAATAGATAGGGGATTAATCCCCAAATTGCCTGGTAAAATCCACTCTCAGGATACCTGATCAGAAATGTTGCCTCTGTATGTAGAATGGAAGGAAAAGTGAGGAGCTGCTCCACAATTCACAGGTTGGTTTTCTCCTATGCTCGCTGTTGATAGGCTCATTGGTGAGCTAATTGTGGAAGCTGCTACATTGTTCTCTCTCACACCTTAAAAACTTGGGTTCTCTTCTTGCTGCCAGAATTGCATGTGAGATAATCTATTTTACTAAATATGCCTTTGCCAAGGGTGTGTTTATGGGATGTGTTTAGTAGTTAAATAATCTATTATTACATTTTTCAAGAGAGTTAAAGTTAGATCAATTCTTCTTTCTTCTGTTTGTATTTTAACTGTAGAGTAAGAATAAAGTGCTTAGCTAAAGCCGAATCGTGTAACCCATCGGATTACATCTGGAACACAGCACTTTATACTTGACTTTAAATAAGGAAAAGTTAGGGTCTAGGCTGTTTCATTGACATATTTGAAGGGGCTTTGGTGTGTCCATAATAAAGATCAGTGCTGGCAGTAACTGAGTCACCGGGGTGGGCTGTTAGATGAAGCTGAGTTGCTGAGAGAGAAGGGTTGCAGTTTTAACGCTGTCAACGAAGGAATCCTGGGCTAACTGAGAACCAAGGAAATCTTAAATCAGTTTGGCAAATGGTTTGTTTGCCAATTAATGTGGAATCTCTTATTTCAGACTATGTAACCTGAAGACCTAATATACATGTGAAAAAGTGATGTCAGTTCAACTATAAAGAAAACTAATAATCATTAAATTTATATCTGAGATACAATGTTTCAGCTTTCTCTGCATACGATGGAAAAACATTGTGGTTGGTGTATTGAGCGTGAGGCCTTGGATGACAAAGCATGTGTCAATTAAAAAAAGCATTTTTGCTAACTTATGCTTGTTATTTTGTACTCATTCGTATTCTGTAGCACCTTGTGTGTTGTGGTTTTAAGTTTAGTGGAAGTTGGTTATTATTGTGAATATTGACAAATTCTTCTAATTCTGTTTCTTTGTGAGTCCACATAGTATATTTGACTACAAATACAGAAAGTGTGTTGCTATATTTCTGCATCACTTAATAAATGTTAGTATGCATGACAAAGTAGCTAGCCCTCAGATTTTGAGGACCCTGTTTGGTGGTGGTGGGGGAGGGGGAATAGAATATATTGACTTCAGGTCCAGAATTTCCATACATTTTTAAGGCGTGAACCACCCACAGATACCTTGTTCAAATTATCATTCTTTGTGTGAGCCTCCATGACTATCAGTAGGATACTTGGTTGTAGGGTTTAATGCAGCCAGGGTCTGATGTCTGTGCATGTGGCTTTTAGCTAAAGACGTGAGCGTCAGTAAAGAATGGGTACAATGTCTGAGATTTTACTTTTTACCTGCCTGACGTGGAAAGCTAGAGCTACCACCACCATCTTGGCTGAGATTAGAAAACTCATTACTGGCATTCCAAGGAGCTTTGTAGAAGCCTTATTAAGCAGACTTTGTCACTGAGTCATATGTGAATAAAGGACAGGTGACCAAAGGTTGTTTAAAGACATTTTTAGGTTTTAAGGGCATATAAAAGGAGAAGGAGAAAGCTGGTGGGGTTTAAGGCGGGAATTTCAGAGTTTAGGGTCCAGGTGGCACATAACGTAAGAAGTAGGAGCAGGAGTAGACAATTCAGCCCCTCGAGCCTGCTCCACCATTTGATAGATCATAGATGTTCTCATCTTGGCTTCAAGTCTGTTTCCCTGCCTGTTGTCCAGAACACTTCAATCCATTACGAAATTGAAAATCTGTCTGTCTTCTCCTTTAAATGTACTCAGTATCCTACCATCCACCACATTCTGGAGTAGTGAATTCCACAGATTTACAAACTCTGAGAGAAGTAATTCCTCATTTTTGTTTTAAATTTGCCATCCCTTAATCTAAAACTCTGAACTCTCATTCCAAATCACTCCACATGAGGAAACATCCTTTCTACATGTACTTTCTCAATCCCCTTCAGCATCTTGTAGACCTCAATTAGATCTCCCCTCGTTCTTCTGAATTACAGAGAGTATAGGCCTAAACTGCTCAATCTTACTTTATAAGTCAAACCCCTCACCTCTGGAATCAATCTTGTGAACGTCAGCTGAGCTGCCTCCAATGCACTACATCCGTCCTCAAGTAACCAAATCTGTATGCAATACACCAGGTGTAGTCTTACTAAATGTCTTGAATGCTTGCAGCAACACTTCCCTACTTATACTCTTTTACTTTTGCAATAATGCCAAAATTCCATTTACCTTCCCTTTTACCTGCAGTAGCTGCAACCTAGTTTTCTGCAATTCATGCACTATGACACTCAGATTCCTCTGCACTAAAGTACGGTGGAGTTTCTGTCCGTTCAGATAATAATTTGCCTTTCCATTCCTCCGACTGAATGGATAACCTCACTTAACCATGTTAAGTCCATGTACCAAATTTTGGCCCATTTACCTAATCTGTCTATATCCACTTATAAATTTCTTATTTCTTCATTGCAACTTACTTTCCCACCTATTTTAGTGTCACCTGCAAATTTGGCTATAGTACATTCTACTCCTGCATCCAAGTCATTAATACAGATTGTAAATAGTTGGGGTCTGAGGACTGAACACACACCCCACTAGTTACATCTTGCCAAACAGAAAAAGGCTAATTTATCCTGACCCTTTGCTGGTTCGCCAGTCCTCAGTCCAACCTCAGGAATTACCCCCAACCTCATATGATCTTGCAGTACCTCATCAGATGCCTTCTGGAAGTTCAGATTTACTACATCTACGGGATCCCCATTATCCATATTGCATGTTACATCGTCAATGAACTCTAGCAAATTGGCCAAACATAATTTATCTTTTGTAAAACCATGCTCACTCTGATGGATTCCATTTTGACTTTCCAAATGTTCTGTTATTACTTCCTTAATAATGGATTCTAACAATTTCCCAACAACAAGTTAAATTAACTGCTCGCTCCCTCTCTCGAATTTTTTCAAACAGCTGGAATGTTTCTGGCATTCAGGAATTTTTAGGGTCACAGTCTAGTTTCGGCCCTTTATTCATTAACAGGATGTGGGCATCACTGGCTAGGCAGCATTTATTGCCCAGAGGGCAGTTCAGAGTCAACCACATTGCTGTGGCTCTGGAGTGACATGTAGGCCAGACCAGGTGAGGATGGCAGTTTCCTTCCCTAAAGGGCATTAGTGAACCAGATGGGTTTTTCCAACAATCGACAATGGGTTCATGGTCATCTTTAGATTCTTAATTCCAGATATTTTATTGAATTCAAACTCCACCATCTGCCATGGCAGGATTTGAACCTGGATCCCCAGAATGTTATCTCAGTCTCTGGATTAACAGTCCAGCAATAATACCACTAGGCCATTGCCTCCCCCAACCATCTGCTTTTGACTTCCAATCTGTGACACAGCATGCAGTGCAGTTTTACACTTAGGAAGTGCATGTGTTGTATAAATAACATATAACTATTATTTTTTTTTATACAGGCTGGGGTCCCAAATTAATGTCAGCTAAGGCAGTGTTTGAACACTATTTACCTGCTTTTAGGAGCACAAGAATAAGTCAGGGATCCCAGCGATATCAAAAACCAGTTACCTTTAACTCCTACTGTTGGAGAGTGTGCATACATATATGCTGCATGACAACTGTTACGTTAACTCTTTGCATTCTTGATCTCTGGGCTCAACACCAGTATCTCATGTTTGTACTAAGTGGGGCCAACTGATAAACTCTTCACTACCCCACTTTGCAGAAATCATAGAGACATACAGCATGGAAATAGACCCTCAGTCCAACTAGTCCATGCCACACAGAATCCCAGACTAAACTAGTCCCACCTGCCTGCTTCTGGTCCATATCCCTCCAAACCTTTCCTATTCATATACTTTTAAACGTCGTAATTGGACCCACATCCACCACTTCCTCAGGAAGTTCATTCCACATGTGAACCATCCAATGTGTAAAAAATTTGTTCCTCATGTCTTTTTTTAAATCTCTCTCTTCTCACGATAAAAATGTGCCCCCTCGTCTTGAAATCCTCCACCCTAGGGAAAAGACAACTACCATTAACCCTATCTATACCCCACATTATTTTATAAATTTCTATAAGGTTTCCTCTCAACCTCCTACACTTCAGTTAAACAAAAATCCAGCCTATCATGCCTCTCCTCATAACTCAATCCCTCCATTCATGGCAACTTCCTGGTAAATCTCTTCTGAACCCTCTCCAGCTTAATAATTATCCTTCCCATAACTGGTTGACCAGAACTAGACACAGTATTTTCAGAAGAGGCCTCACCAATCATGTTGTACAAGTCAACTGAAACTGGACAGAATAGTTTGTCAGTGTGCATTTGTTTTGTTTTATAAAATGAATCACTGTTATCAAGGGATTCATACTTTGCATGCTCATTTGGTTGCGTCTGAGAAGAATGAAAATAAATGCACAGCCACTTAGTTCCTTGCTTTATCTTTCAAAATTATTAAGGCAAGACTGTTTGCATGGTGTAAATGCTAATGAGTAACAGGTTCACAGAATACACTGAAAACCTGTTGTTATCCCAGCGATGTGGACGTAGAGCCAAAGATATAGCTGGTAGATGACTAGTTACTTGATCAAACCTTTCAAGATTCAATCAAATACATCACCTTTGTTCCCACCTTCTTTCCTCCTAGGAGAGTAACCCCATCTTCCACATTCTGGGCATGTAACTGCTGTTCATCATATCCCCAGGGCCATTCTAGTGATCTCTGTACTCTCTCTCTAGCCTTAATAGCAACCTGTGTGTACAATTTTTGATTTTGTCGCTGTGGATTTTATGTAATACCTGTTAGATCCAAGGATACGGATTATACTGGATAGGTGATTGATTAATGTAGAAAGGTTGCAATTGTAACCATAACCAGTGAACTAAGTTGACCACTTCTTGAATTTAACTTGAATGCACATCCTTATTAGATATCTTTACGGTTAGATCTGAAATTCAATCATGTAGACTTCTGCTCTGCATTAATGGCTTATTGGATAAAGACATCACAAGATACAAACTAGAGTCCTGCTTGTATTAAGTTAGCTGACCTCTAAAAGAATAACATTTGGGATATGATAATAGAAGCACAATACATTCAGATTCTATCTTCAGTAACCTTCTATTATAATGCATAGAAGAGGATGGGAATTATGATGTGTAGATTCCCATACTGCTATTTAATGTGCACACTCTTAAATTCTGTTGTTGAAATGTGTCTTTGTATTCCAGGTTATTGAACAAAACCATGTGTTTACATTGCTGTACCACTAATTCTCTGTGCTGTTGAAACTGACTTCTCTGGGCAATGCTGCAGACGTCAAACTACAGCCTTGTGCTGACAATACAGTTCACATTTATGATCTACGACTTGATGTCCAATTCCTTTTCTGAGCTTATATTCACGGAGCCAGTGATCCCACTGATAATGTTCATGTGAGTGTGTGTGCTTTATATTGATTCTGATAGGTGACTAAGATATTTAACAATTATTGTGAAGGCATGGGGTTGAGGGGTGAAATTGAAACTGCTAAAATCAAGACTCTTGTTTTATCGACTATACCTCAAACTTTCCCATCCTTCAGCTCTGTCATCTCCCCTCCATTATCTACCCTTCCCTCGTCCTAAATTCTCCATTTTGAGTTATCCTGCCACCTCAGACTATAGCCTTTTAAACCTCAAATTTATCAGCTGCACACTGTTACTTGTTTTGTTTCCTTATGTTATTTGGGCCCGACTTGACTTTTTTTGTGCTCAGTGCTAAAAGTTATAAACTAGAACATGGCTTTATGTGTACACTATTCAGAAATTTTGCAAATGCAAAACTTTTGTATTGTCCAAAATTGCACTGCTGTAAGATGAACATGTTTGTTATCCTCGCCTTTGGATAGCAGGAGGACAAATGAACTGTTGGAAAAATGTCTTAGGCTATGAACTCTACGTCACCATTTTAAATGTAAAAGTAGAAAGCAGAAAATCAATACATGATTACAGTAACGGACAGCACTGTCCTACAGTGGCTGCTGTGGTCATTTGACAAATCCAGGCAACCCACATGGACAAAACCAACTGCATCAGATTTCCTGTATTGATCAAGAGACACTGAAACAGTGAGATATTAAGAAATTTGCATCACTTGTTTTAATCAAACTTGCATGACAACTTCACATATTTGAAGCGAAACGTTAGTGGCAGCGTGTTCAGCTTGAAGTATACAAACAAACCATATTTTAGCTTGCTTTAAGCAATAAAGGAGAGAGAAAGCAACATGGATCGAATAAAGCAACAATACAGAAAACTGTTCTCTCCCTCTCAAATCAGCACCCCATGAAGAAGCAACTTGAGAACACCTCTGTTTACCAAAAATTCAAGGTTATCTGCAGGCTTTGCCACTGTTAAGGAAACAGGAGAACACCTAAACTGTTGAGAGCTTCACATTCACACTTCGAGGACTCTTTAAAAATTTAAATTGCAACAGTCTGTACCTTTGTGTCTACATAGATATCCTCCTCCCACCCTTTTTCTTAAGCTTAATAAGTTGTATGTGTATGGAAACACAGTATGGAGCTGGAGGAACACAGCAGGCCAGGCAGCATCAGAGGAGCAGGAAAGTTGATGTTTCAGGTCAGGACCCTTCTTCAGGTACTGCTGTGTTCCTTCAGCTCCATGCTGTGCTGTCTCTGACTTCAGCATTTGCAGTTCTTCCTGTCTCCAAGTTGTGCTTATGTATTAGGTTTCACACTTTATTTTTTCAGGTTTAATAGGGAATAAAACTTCACTTCCTTTTATTCGAGAATACCTCTGAATTGTCTCTCCTTCATTCTCCATCTGGTGAACTCTTTGAATTGAAGTGTGATAGCCACCTGCTTTTTTAAAAAAAAAACGCAAATGTTTATTGTGACTTACCAACAGAACTTAAACAAAGGGACCTGATCACCCCTCCTCAACTGCTCATTAAACATTTGGGGGCTCCGTCTATGGTGTTCCCACAGTTATCTGATAAGATGAAGTAGTGAAAAAATTGTGTTGCTTTGAAAACTGTTCTTAAAAAAAAAAAAACTGCAAAAAGATTTTCTTGAGTCTTTAGTATTAAACATGCAAAGGTATCCATGTTTGGTGTTAGTGCTTCCATGGAGTAGGATGGAGTAGATTATATATGAAAAGCTAAAAGCCTCATTCTTGGAGGAATTATTATTGAATTGAATTAGGTTTATTGTCCCATGAAAACAGTGAAAAAATTACAAGTCATGACTGATGGCCCCATTTTCGGTCCAAAATAAAGAAAACAAATAAAATAAAAAGTAAAGAAAACAAAATTTTACAAGGTTAAACATTACAGTCTTTCTTCCTAAAAAGTAGAAAAACAAAGAAACACAGTTAACAGTTCAACACCACTGTCCACAAGGTGGCCAGCCATAATGGGCATGCACTCCTCTCAAACACTCCACCTCCCCTGCTCCAGGCCTGACCCCACCCTTGCCTCCGCCTTGGGCTGCCTGCTCCCGCTGTCGCCGCTAGCTGCCCTGGGCTGCCTGCTTTCGCTGCTGTAGGTGGAGTTCTGCTAGAAACCCAGGAAAATAGAAATTGTAAAATGGGTGGCAAAATATCTTGAGCTAGAACCTGAGAACAGTGAAACAGGTATAATAAAATTGGAGCAGCTAAGATCAGAATTAGTATTATAAGTAAAAAGGGAAGAATGAGAGAGATACAGAAACAGAAAAGAGACTGAACTCAAAGGAGGGGAGAATGAAAGAGAAAGGGAATTTAAATTGAAACAGCTTAAGCTGAGATTTAAGACTGAAAACTGCTGAGTGAACCGACAAAAACTACCTAAAGGGGTTCAAGAACTTTATATTCTTTCCAATTTGGACCCGTGTCAGAGAATAGAGGGTAGCAGGATCCAGACAGGTGGTAGTTCTGGCTGTTGACAGAATTAACCAGCAGACCCATAACTTGGGGAAGTTAGTGCCTTGAACTAGCACAGACCTGAGAGAGAAAGGGAAGGATAAGGCAGATGATGCTGAGACAAGCTGGAGAGAAAAGAGAAGCCAGGCAGAGAAACAGTCTGAATCATTAAAAGGAGTCAATCTGATGAGAGATGGCAGGAAACTTCCCCAAAGTGTTTCGCTGCAAAAGCATGTTAAAGAAAATCATTGTTTTTGGCATGTCTGAAAAAAACAAGCTGCAAGACCAGTGTCTGTAGCCTGTGGTCAGTGACTGTTCAGGCATGACAGGTGATTAGGCCAGCTGGAGGAGCTTGTATAAAAAGGAACGGTGACTGCTGCTTTAAATAACGAGGGATGAATCAGCATTCTCTGAAACACTGGATTCTTACAGACCTTGCTGGTGGAGAAAATGCAATATTTTCCACCTGGAAGCAAAATAAATTTCAATATACTGATTTAAAGGGCTCATGGGAAAGAGTACAGAGGTGCTATTGGTTAAGATTTACTTAGACGGTGGATGTATTATGGATCTGGTAACAGTTGATGTCATCCCAAGCTTGCTGATGCCAGGAATAGTTTTTTATTGGCGAATGAATTGCCTGGTCACAAAATCCACTTGCCAAACAGAAAAGGACAACCAGAGAGACTGGGGAAGCCAGTGAGAGCCAGCAGTAAGTGGGAACGAAGAGAAGTTTGGAAGCCTAAAGAGGACAGCAAAACTCATAAGCGTTGGAATAGCTAAAGGAAGGTTGATCAAATTAACCCAACTGGGAAGGGTTTGAAAATGCTGTAGGAGGCAGTAAAACCGGAGAAGTTTGGTGTAGCTTAGGAATGGTCACCTGATTTTCCTGTAGTCCAGCCAGGAAAGGGTAGGGCATCGCCAGAACGAGTTAGAAGTGTTGGAGCTAGGCAGTCGTCATGAAGTAAGGCAAAAAAATCCAGGGAAAAAGAAGGTGAAGCCTCCCCTAGTGAAAGAGTCACAAAGGTCTTTCGCAGTCGCTGAACATCCACCTGGTGGCAGTATCAATCCAGGGGAAGTGAAATTAGGGAAGGGAAAACCAAAATAAAGGGAAAAGGAAAGGGAACATATTGCACAGCAAACACAGTGGTGGAGGTCACCAGGGGCATACCAATGACTTAAACCCACAACTACCCACAAGTAGATCCAACAAACAAACTTCAACCGGTCAAATCCATTGATGTGAATGAAGTTTATTGAGAGCAAAGTGCAAGACACACGTCCAAATACCTTACAGGAATTAAACCTTGGACAACTAACCACCTAATCCCTTGGAAATCAAATTCATAAAAAGAAACCTGAATCCAGTACATGGATCATGGAACTGGGCTGTGAAGGGTTAGAGTTGGAAATGTGGCATGGCTCAGCAAATTAGTCTGTCAGTCTGAAGCTGGTTTTGAAGCCAGGTTAGGATTAAGAGAGTGAATGTGGAATATGTGAGTATTGTCAGCCCAATTTTTGTAATGTTCTTTCATATTGACCTGGTAGTGAATGCTCACCATAAACAAAAAGGAGAAATATTGTTCGCTTCTATTATTCATGGTGGGGAGGTATTACAATCTTTGTGAAAATAAACTGTCAATATTCAACTTCCATCAGACTTTAACACCTGAGACTTTAATGGACAAAATATAGTTTCTAAGAAGACACAACTGACCAAAACTGGCTTCTATGATTACCTGACAAGCCCACACAATCCATTTGAAATGTATAAAACCGACTGCATTGGAATTGCAATTTTAGTCAAGAGCTTTTGAAACTCAGTGAGACGTAAAAAAATTTGCATCAATTGTTTTCTAAAACTTGCATGGTAACCTCACAAATTGGAGATGAAAGATTGTTTGAAAAGAATAATGGAGCTAGACTTCAAACATATAAACAAAACCTACTTCAATAGCTTCAGAGATAGTAGGAACTACCGATGCTGGAGAATCTGAGATAACAAGGTGTAGAACTGGATGAACACAGCAGGCC